ATACAGCTACATTTACTTAGTTCAATTAGAAGAAAGATTTGTACTAATAGTATTTAGACAAGATATGTCTGCATATTGAAATATAAATAACTACTCTAAAGAAAACAACATGCAATGTATTAATAACTGTCCCACTTAAAAAAAAATAGATCAACTAGACAAAAATTTATATCTAAACTGGATAATGCACGCAAACAAATGGACTTAGCAGATATCTATGATGTTCTACTCCAGAACAGCAGAATGTACATTTGTTTCACCTATTCATGGGACATTGTCTAAAACAGACCATATTTTAGCTTATTGAAAATGCTTAAGTAAATGCAAAGGAAATAAAATTCTCCCATGCACATTATCAGACTATAGTGTAATAAAATTGGAAATTAACTGCAGTAGAAATCACATGAACTTCATAAACCCTTTGAAATTAAATAACATTCTCATGAATAACCAATGAGTCACCGATTAAATTAAAGAAGAAATTAAATACTTTCTACAAAAAAAATGATAATGACAATACAACATACCAGAACACAATGAAAGCAGTCCTACAAGAGAATTTTATAGTGGTGAAAACTCCTATCAGGAAAAGACAGCAAGCTCAAATAAATTACTTCATGTAGAATCTTAAGCTTTAAGAAAAAGCACAGCAAGTCAAGCCCAAAGCTCATATAAGGGAAGAAATTATAAAGATTAGAGCAGAAATTAATGCAATTTTGAATAAAGCAAGTCAAAGGATGAATTAATTAAAGACTTAATTCTTTGATGAGATATAATCGATAAACTCTTAGCAGATCTTATCAAATACAGTAAAGACACAAATCCACGAAATTAGGAGTGAAATCACAACAGTTCCTGCAGAAATCCAGAAGATGATTCTCTCAAATACCTACCTCAAGAATCTTTATTCTAATAAGTTGGAAAAACGTAGAAAAAATTGAGACATTGTTTGATATATATTAATTACAAAAGCTGAATTAAGAAGATATAAAAAGTTGAAATAAGCCAATATTAATTGATGAAATTTAAGATGCAATTAAAAACTTGCCAACAAAGAAAAGCCCAGGATCAATGGATTCCACCCTGAATTCTCTTAGAAAGTCAGAGATCTAATACCATTACTTCTCAAACTCTTTAGTGAAATTGAAATGAAAGCAATATTCCCAAAGTCCTTCCTTAAAGCAAGTATAACTCTGAAAACAAAACTGGAGAAAGATCTAACCAAAAAGAGATCCACAAACCAATTTCCCAATGAACACTGATGCAAAAATCCTCAGTAAGATACTGGCAAACAGAATGCAGCAAATTATCAAGACAATTATACACCATGACCAAGTATGATTCGTCAAAAGTATGCAGGACTAGCTCAACATATACAAATTTATTAATGTAGTATACCGTATCAGTAGAGCCAAAGGAAAAAAAATCACATGATCATTGCAATAGATGTTGAAAACTCATACAGTTCTAGAAACATCAGCCAGAGCAATCAGGCAAGAAAAATAAATAAAAAGAATAATGATAGGAAAGTAAGAAGTGAAATACTCACTGTGTGTAGATGACATGATAAAGTATAGAAGACTCCACAAAACTCTATCAAAAAAACTTCTAGATTTAATAAATAACATAATTGAATTGTATCTGGATACAAAGTCAACACTCAAAAATTGATAGTATTCCTATACACAAATAACAAACTCTCTGAGAAAGAAATTAGAGAAACAACATCTTTCATAATAGCATCAAAAGAAAGCAACACTTAGGAATCAATCTAATATTGTAAAAGATCTCTACACTTAAAACTACAATTCTCTGAAAAAGGAAATTAAAGAGGACATCATAATATAGAAAGATATCCCTTGTTCATGAGTAGGAAGAATCAACATAGTGAATATGGCCATGCTCTCAAAATTATTGTACTGTATTAAAGTAATATTGATCCCAATATCATCCAAATACCAATAGCATACCTCACTGAGTTAGAGAAAACAATCCTAAAATTTACTTGGAACCTGAAGAGGCCTAGAATAGCAAAAACAATTTTGGGCAACAAAGGAAAGTCATGAGGCATCACAGTCCCTGACTTTAAATCATACTACAAAGATACTATGATAAAACAGGAGGGTACTAGTATAAGCATTCATTTGATGCAATCCATCCACATATTTGTTCATCCATACTTTCATGTATTCATTTGTCCATTTACCCCATGGTGATATTCTTGGTTTAGTATTAGATACTGAGAAATCAAAGTTGACAAGACATTTAGCACTAAAGTCACAGCGTAAAGTTACTGAAATAAAAAGTAACTATTTCTGTTATACTTTTATCAGTATTATACTGTGATAGTATAACTAACATAGTGACTCCATAACAGGTTTCCACTGTAGTCACATGCTTTATAGACCAAACGTTATGGTTCATATCTAGATATCCTCCCTAGATAGTTGGGACTTCCTGAAGGTGGCTAGATTTAGGATGTATGAATGTGGACTAAGGAGGTGCTACTGAGATCAAGGCTCAATGGTACTAAATTAGTCCACCAATCATTATAGCTCTGGGTGTGAACAATGGCAAGGCATACCCTAGGTGTGGCTGACATCACTCAATAGGCTTGTAGCCTGAATGGGATAAAAAGAAAAGGAAGACTTGATTCTGTGTTTTCTGTTTGCTGCCTTCTATCTGCTATGCCAAGAACAATTTCTCTTCTGTGATAGCCCTCTGTCATGCCACTCTGCCTTAAAACCAGCTGAAACTTCTACAACCTGAGTTAAAATAAACCTTTTCTCTTATCACTTATAGTTGTGAAATATTTTGTCCCAGCAAGAGGAAAAACAACTAAGCTGCCATGATAAATTTACAACAAATATCAAGCAAAAAGTCAAGCATTATGATTTTAAAGCATGTCCTATAAGTACTACCCACCTGCAGTGAACTAGGAGAGGTACACTCTTGTGACACTTATTCCCTTCAGTGAAAGTCTTTTTGGGAAGTTTCTGTTTAAGGCTCTGAATCATTGAAACTAACTCTTTGGTTTCTGCAGGGAGCTGGCCCACACTCCAGTTAGTATATTGGTACTGGTACACAGTTCGGGCATCTTTCCTCTAAAATGAGAAGTGAATAGAACATTAGCTGAAGTGAGGTTCAGTCAAGTTTGCGGACTGATAGCTAGATACTCTTCACAATTGTACTCATTCAAATATTTTGGCTTTTGTGTACCATAATATAGATGGCGGCTTTGCTTACATAAGATATTTTATGTGTTAAAAGATTACTTACAAAAAATAAATATTCACAAAACTATGTGTATGTAGTTTTTTTGTTTTGTTTTGTTTTTTACCTTGGAGTTTCTCAGTTCAAATTCACGGACAGTGTACATTGGAGATATATTTGTGTCTTTGATGTCAATCTCTAAGTCTCCGTATGTTTGTTTCCCTTCACCCCAGTACTGAGCACAGATTTCCTAGACAACAGAGAACATGGTTAAGCAACTTGTACAAAACTTTTGTTTACTATATAAAACATTCATGAAAACTGTTTGTCCTTTTATTTACTATCCTACTTTCTATTACATAGAAATTATTATTTATATTTTAAAATGAAAGTTGGGGCTGTTGAGATAGCTCAGCAGACTAAGCACCTTTGTGGCAAGAACAGGGACTGGGGTTCAATCTCAGGTATCACATGCGGTGCCAGCCCTGCCACCAGGTGTGCTGTGTGGGTCACTGAGACTAGGCATGGTGGTGCATGCCTGTAATCCCAGCTCTGAGGAGGCTGAAAACAGGAGGATCACTGTAGTCTGAGCTGTGTAGTGAGATCTTGTATCAAATACATCATAACAACAAAAAAATTAAAATGAAACCTGCTCATACAAATTAAAATCTATGGCAAGTATGGTAGACACCCACTTAACCTGATATATCATTGTGTAAGTGAAAGAAACCTAGGAATAATTGAACTCTGTCTTCTCATATGTCTTTTTGATTTATTCCTTCCTCCCATACAATGATCATCAGTTGCTTGTAATCTATAAATTGAGTTTCTATTAGTTATACATCTCCAATAACTCTGGCACACTGTCCCTCCACTGGTCCTTGAGGAAGAGGGCTTCACACTTGCAAGTATTTCTCTGTGCTAATGACCTACACCAGATGCATCTACGTGGATAGAATATCCAAGTAAAAACTCACAATGGAGTGTACATGAATCACAAAAGAGTGTTCTCCCTCTGCACCCTACTCTCCACAGTTAGCACTGACGCAAGGTTGATGACAGTGTTGGACATTCCTGCCTATACTGTCATTCTGTTTCTTGACTTTCCCATTTTAGGTAAGAGAAACATGGCTAGAAGTCAAAGCTGGATATGTGATAATATTCCTTGTTTTAAAAGCAAAAATTTTAATAACTTCCTATGTACCAGAGCAGGAGACACATGGGGTTGGCGGGATAGAGAGAGAGAAATATAAAGAGAGACAGAAAGGGAGAGAAAAATATATAAATTTTACTGCACTGTGGCAGTTGATCTTGATTGCAAACTTGATCAGCTTGAGAGATGTAGTAAAGCACAGTTCTGACTGTGTCTGAGTAGGTCATGAGGGAGAGGCTTTGGGGTCCAGAGCTGGTACCTGGCCCCCTCATCAGCCTCTCTGCCCCGTTTGTCATAGCTCTGCTGCCTGGCTGCCATGACATTAGCAGGCTTCTGCCACCATGATGCTTCTGCCTGAGAGCTGGCCAAACATGGATGGAAACCTCTGAAACCATAAATCCAAAATAAACCTCTCCTTTAACTTTTGTATGGCAAGTATTTTGTCCAAGTGAAGGAAAACTGGCATGTATCATTGTTTAGAAACATTTTTTTGGCTAAGTCTTGAGATAAGATACACCAAAGAACATGGTAGTTGCTAAGAAAAACTCAGTGTGGGCCAGGGTTATAGCTCAGTGCAATAGCAAATGCAAATGCAAGGTCCTTCCAGTATCACCCCCGCTCCATAAAATAAAAATAAAAATAAAAATAAATTAATTAAGTAAGTAAACCTGAAAAGTGATAGATTATCCACCTCTAGTGAGATTTTAAAGAATGGTCAAAATAATTATTGTGTGTGTATATGTGTTCATGTGTGTTTCATGGCTACAAATATTACCTATGAACTAAGAAAGAAGAATATTTTTAATTGCTTCCAGTATATTATCTTGCTAACAAATAGGATAAAGAGAAGAGAGGACACACTTAGGTATATGGAATGTTATGAAATTAAGACTGAACTGCTGAGCAGGCAAACTTGCGTGCTGAGCTCAATCTATAAACTTACCAGTACAAAGAATATTGAAAACATAAAAGTGGGAGGAAGTTAAACAGAACAAAAACATAAAACCAACTGAACAACATACCAAGTCTTGATGCTGTTTGATCTTTTAAAATGTCAGTGAGTTTAGATTTTACCTCTAAAATTAGAAAATACAGTAGCTGCTTGTTATAAAACTGGAATTGCTGCACGTTGGATAATCTGAAAGTAGTGTGTGAGACTGGAGAGGGGGCAGCCCTGAAGGATGCCAGAATCAAACAAGATAATAGAAGTCAGGAAGAGTTTGCAAAGCAACTAGGCTAAGCAAAGAGACTGCATGACAGAGTGATCAAAGTGATGTCGGCAGAACAATCAAGCAAGCAATCCACTAAGGGAGAAGGACATTTTATAACATTTTTTTTTAAAAAGCCTCTCTAAAGTGCAAACCTGGTCGCCATGCTTCAGCTCTGTCAACATGACAATGACTTTGACTTTTCTTTGGAAGACCATCTGCCAGAAGTCACCAACAGTCTCTCTCAGTGGTCCTTGAGCAGCAATCATCATTTCTGGTTTCCAGTAACTCTTTCAAAATAATAAAAGGGAGACTTTGTTATTACTGTTCAGAGAATTGTACATACTTAATATAACAGTTGGGAAAAAGTCACTTAGTCTGACATTAATGTTGTTGCAGAAATATGATAAGAGTCTTATGTCCAAGAAAATAAATCTAACTATATTGACGCAAATAATAAATCTTAATAAATAACAGACTCAAGATTAAGAAATCCAGAATTTTTGTGGAACACTTCGTTTGAATTTTTAACTTAGTTTTAAAAAGGTATAGGCTGAGGAGATAGCTCAGCAACATAAGTGCCTGCCTGGCAAGCACAAGATCCTGAGTTGGATCCCTCGTACCGCATGCAGTGCCAGCCCCAAAACCCCAGGCACACACTGCTGGCCACCAAAACCAGACATGATGGTGTATACTTGTAATCCCAGTGCTGGGGAGGCTGAGACATGAGGATTACTATGCATCAGAGCTGCGTAGAGAGACGCTCTATCAAACAACAACTAAAAAGATGTATCATGAACATTTACTTAATAGGTCAGTTGAACCGAGTGAAACTTTTTTAATTATAAAAATACATACATACATTTGGGTTTGTTTTTACCAAGTTTGGTATCTGAGTCAAAAGTTTTTATATATTTGTCTTTGGTCAAATTTTATTCTTAAAACGAATATGATTACAGGCCCATTTATCATAAAATATAACTATTATGGTTTAGTTCTAAAATGTCTTCAAAACTTTTCTGTACAGATGGGGTTTTTGGAAGGTGATTGAATCTGGGAGCCACTATACACCTCGTGGGATTGCTTTGTTGATGAATCTATAGCAGAATGCGCTGTCAGGAGGTAAGGCCCAGGCAGAGATGTGCATGCCTTAAAGGATGCACATCTGTCTCTTCTCCTGCTCTCTGCTCCCTGCTCACCTTGGTCAGCGTCCTCTGCCACCCTTCCACCATGCCATTTCTGCCTTGGCACTGGCCAGCCAAGAATTGAATGCTCTGAAACTGTGAGCCAAAATAAACCTCTTCTCTTCACTTTGTGTTTGGCAGGCATTCTACCCCAGCAATGGAGAAGTGAGTAGCACAGTAAATGATAATATGATCCTATTCTGGGTTAGGGAAATATAAATACCATTATGAAAGATGCATTGATATATTTGCTTGTTTCTTCTGAATCACTGTCGTCATCAGATGATGCATCGGAATCATGCTCACTCTCCTTGCTCATTTCCAATTCATGTTTAAGTGTCACTCTGTTAAAGTCGTCTGTAGAAAATAAATGAGTAGTGAATCCTTCTTTAGCACTAATAAGAGTTGGGATGTAAAGCACGTGCTTAGCACATTCATGTGGTTCAATTCTCAGCACCATCAAAAAATTAAAAATAAAGATAATCAAATTTTGACATGACTGACAGGAATTAAAAAGAAATTTAAAATTAAAAATATTGATCTAGATGCAATGAAATATTCCCTAAAATTTAGTACTTTGATTAACAAGCTATTTCAAGACATTTAAGTAAAGTCCCAAAGTGAAAAAAATATCAAATATTTAAGTGATGTTCCATATGGTTATCAATCTTTGATATTTTAGATTCCATGGAATATCATCATTCTGTCTGGTAAAAGTTAAAAAATTCATAGCTTAAATTTTTGTTTCTCATTTATATCCTATTGACATTAACAGTCTTTGTTAAATAGGAATCTCATATTATTATTTCATCAAAAAAATTATTTAATCTACAATTCCTCCTTATTTTTCAATGTCTTAAATTTATAATAACCTGGACAAATGATCTGTTTAACTGCATTACTATCAATTCTGTATTTTAACTATATTAATAAGGACTTATGTAGAAATTAAATTAACTAGGTCAGCCATGCACTGATTTGAATTACTTGGTTGTCTAGTTTATTAGCTTGGCTTGTATTTTACCCATGCTAGTTTTTGTATGTTCAGCTGAAAAAAATGCCATGCTGCCTGATATGATCTTTTGAATATTGTTAATTAGTAGAACTTAAGTCATGAAAATGGTGCATATTCAACCTGCTAAATTTGGTGATTGATAATTTATAGAGTGTTTTCCATGGGCTTCCAGCCTTCCAGATACAATGAATAAGGAGAAGCCATAAGGGATTATGTTTGCCATTTGGCAATTACTTTTTCATACTAAAATGAAATAAAAGTAAAACACACTTGGCCTTTGTCTCTCTGATTCAAAGCTTTTGCCTTTCTTACAACTCATTTCTGACATAATTGGTAGAAAGAAAACACTGAATATAGTTTATCTAGCAAAGTCCATCGAAAATGCCTAGGGCTCAAATAATTCATTATAACTAAAATATAGGTAGCTTGTTGACTTTTCTATTGTCAACCAAATGTTGAGATTTCGCTTCAAAACCATTTATGTGTATCACATTAAACAAATGCAAAAAAGCATAACACTTTCTGTTGTAAATAAATTTAAATGGTAACTACATACACGGAATAACATTAGAATTTCTGTTTTTCTTTTTATTTTCCTCTTGATGTCCGATGTGCTGCGTCCTCCAGCTTCTATAGGAAGGAAGTCTCTGAGGGAGAAAAGTAGAATTAAAAGCTCTTTTAACGTCTAAATTCATATTAGCTTAATTTATTATTGTGGCATAGGATGCTCCCTATAGAAAAAACACATCGTTAATTTTTGTCAAATCTGTACACACTCCTAGTCACAATTTTAAGTTTGAATGTGGATTTTTTCCTCTTAATCTTTTCAGGCATTTAGTATATCTGGCATGGTAAGTTGAAAATAAAAACATACATTTATTTAACAAAATATGCTGCTAGTACCTCCTGGATGGCAAAACAGTGGATCTTATTCTTGTATAACTATATCAATGTTAAGTATTATTTATATTGAAAAATTAATAATGAATAATTTTGAGTTATCAGGAGGGTACTCGACAGACACAGCACTCATGGAAGACTTGACACTGCGAATTTAGCAGTTCCGGGTAACTATCCCCTTACTCAGAAGAATCAGTCTCCACAATCTATCTTGTCTTCTGGTAAAGAGCACAGTTTCTTTTAATTTCTTACTTCCTACTTAATCCAACCCATCTTCACTTCTCACTTGGGAAATATCAATAACTTTATAACTGGACCCTCTATTCAATTTTGCTAATACTGAACATGCTAAAACACAAAATAAAAGCTGTCCATCCTTATTAAGCTCTTCAACAGCTTCCGGTCATTGTTAGAACATAGCAAGCTTCCTTAATGTCAGGCAAAAGTTTTTACTGGTATCGCACTGACTGTCTCTCCAGCTTCAGCCCTTTTTAAGTCTTTCCACGCTTGGGCTAAACTAAATTCCTCCATTTTCAGAAGGAGGCACACTGTCCCTGAACTCTTGCAATCTATTGTGTTTTGGATGAATGTCCCACAAGGGTCCATATGTAAAGTCTTGACCTCCAGGGTGGTGGTAGCTGAAGTTCTTTTGGACTTTGAAGAAGGTGAGCACAGTTGAAGTTCTTAGGATATGCTAAGAACTCAAATGGGATTATGGATCTGTGTGTGTGTGTCTGTCTGTCTGTCTGTCTGTCTCTCTCTCTCTCTCTCTCTCTCTCTCTCTCTCTCTCTCTCTCTCTCCAAGAAAGTTCCTCATGTAAAACTCAGCAGGATTTTACGTGTGTGTGTGTGTGTGTGTGTGTGTGTGTATGCCTTATTTCATATTAAATATGATACCTGCCTTAAATCCAATTAATGGTTATGAACTGAATGAAGAAAACAATTATCACTGAATATCAAGCCACGTGTACTTCATCATGAGTCATATGGAGGGCCAGTTTCTTTGGAAAACACCACAACACTTCATGCTTTTGTGAGCTGTCACCCAATAGCCACTGCTCCCAGCTCACAATGCCCAGGATGACAACGAAACTAATGATTCACTCTCCTGTGAGATGGAAAGGATTTTTCACTGTTCAATTGCTGCTTGTGTCCATTATCACCACAGCTCTACTCTACACCTGTCAGCGCAGGTACAAAGCCTGATTTTTAGTCTTTCATGGTGTATCTGCAATTCCGTCTTTTACATCTCACAAATCACTGGCTCCCACTCTGCCTTCTGGTGTCCAAGGCCTGATATCAGCAAATCTTCATAGGTCCCAATCCTTGTCCCCCAAAACTTTCTTTGCCTTGCTTTGCTTTGAAGGCAACACCAAGAACCCAATTTATCTCTTTTTCCTCTCATTCCAACCAGATCACGGTCTGAAGAAGAGCTGCGTATTCATCTTGCTCCTTGCTTCCACTTGCAAGCCATTTTTGCTTAGTGTATCCTCAAAAAACCCCAATGATTTCTATTTTTACTCCGTATCACTGCACCTACTCTTATCTACTCCTCTTCACCTGAAAATGTCAGGTATCACTAACTTCAGGGCTACCCCCACTTCATTTGGCTTGGGGCTTCATTCACGGTGTGCTGTCCTCCCAAGGCGCATCATCCCTCTTGTTCCTTCAGCCCTGACAGGGTGCCCCAGCCGGCATTCTGGTCTACTCTCACGCATGCTTTTCATGCAGCAAGTTCACTGCTACCATCCCCCACTATAGTCATATGTGAACACTCTCAACTCCTTCCTCTGCCTACTGTTATCTAGTCATTTTACAAAATCTAAAGGATATTAATCCAGTCATCTGCATGAACAGAGAGATCTCCCTCTCCTCAGAAAGTGAAGTATTTCTGTGAAAAAGAGTCCATTCAGTTCATGATAATTTTTAAATTAATGATCATAAATTTCAAATTATCAAACAATGATTTTGGGCAATCCTACATGGTCTCCTACCTTGAGGTAACTACTTCATACTCTTTCCCTTTCCTTAACGTGTAGTCTTTGCTGGGCCCTACACACTTCTGAGCCACTCTGCTCTTAATTGGTGATCTTGCCTTGCATTTTCTTGAGAAATGAAAAGTAATCAGGGTTGTGGTAATGCAATGCCAGTTACCCTGATCTGACCATGCGTTGCACACTTTATACAAGCATTGAAAGATGTATAACCATGTGTTAATCATATATATCTATATCTATTTCTGCATCTGTATCTATAGATAAGATACAGATGCAGATATAGATATATAGTCTTTAAAAAAATTGTGTATTTGATACAGGGTCTGACTATGCAGCTCGGACTTGGATTCTTACTGATCTTACTGTTTCAGCTTCCCCAGCACTGGGATTATAGGTGTGCACCACCATGCCTGGTCTTGGTGGCCCGCTTGGCGCACCTGGGGTGGGGCAGGCACGGCATGTGGTACCAGGGATTGAACCTGGGTACTTGCACTTGCCTAGGCAGGCACTTAGACCACTGAGCTATCTCTACAACCCTATATATTCTTAAAGTAATCAGAAAAGCACTACTTTAGTTTAAGGTCACCTAATTTACCAATATATCAGCATCTCTGTCCTCATTTTCCATATTCTTGTCTTCTTCTTTTTTCTTTTTGTAATTCAAGGAGGATATACAGGGTCTCATTACTAGATTGGACTCGTAGTGATCCACCTGTTTTCAGCCTCCCAAGAGCTGGGATTACAGGTGCGTGCCACCATGCCCAGTCTCAATTGCCATCTCAGCATGTCCTAGGGGTGGGGCCAGCGCGGTAGGCCTGGGTATGGAACCCCCAGCCCCTGCACCTGCTTGCAGGCACTTTAATCCACTGAGTTGTTTGGCCATCCCTTCCTGTGTCTTCCAATGGAGTAATAGTACTGCTTCTGGCAGTTACAGTGTTGCTTGAGCCTTCTTCCACACTCCTCCTAATGTCCACCACGTCCACCTCAAAATCATTTTGACTCTCATGTCTAGAACTGTACCTGGTGCACAGCAGAAACTGCATCACATCTTTTTGGCTAAAAAAAATTTCTCTTTTAGTGACTATCCATTTGAATGTTCATCTTCAATGCACAAGCATCACCGAATAGGGTAAGTGCAAATGCGGCTTTGTAGGGTGTGTACTGATTATAGTAAAAGTCATCAGCTAAAACACCAAAAAGAAAGAAAACAGAAAACAACAGCAAAATGCTCTTCTGTTGAAGACTATCATGTCCCTGCCAATTCTTCCATCTACAAGTATAGTTTTCCCAGAGACTGAGCTGCTTGGTGATTATTGTTCGCTGCTCCTCCATCCCCCACCTCAGCCCCACTTTGATCCTAAACATTAAATGGTTCTGTATCTAATTAAAAGTGCATTCCTGGCCTAGTGAAACTCTCTGAACCGGCCAGTTTGGCAGTTAATAGAAAGACTCAATAAACTGGAAATCACAAGTGGAAGAGAAAAATTACAAAACTTGACAATGTCACAATTTGAGGATAGTTATGCCAACAGTCCAGAATCATGGTGAACTACATCTCCAGTTAACTGTCAGAATAATTGCCTAATAAATAGGTTGGGACACACATTATTATCCTTTCCTTTCTGTCTGGTAGCTCCAGACAGCTCAACTTCCTAAGCAGTCATAAACTCCTCTAATTATTTCCTTTATAAACTAAAACCAGATGCAGTTTTTAAAGGTGAGATGCGACATTGCCTATGGCGGACCAATTTCATGGCTATATACTATTATTTTGGCAGCTTATTTATACCGGCTTAATGAGAAAGTGTTAAAAGTGTTAGCAAAAGAGACAGACCTCTGGCCATAAGCAAGTCTCCTACATAATAGCTATGCAGGTTCAGGAATGTCCCTCAAACTCTCTGGGTCTTGGAGTCCTCAACTGAGCTCTCTTGGCCATGTTGAGGACCAGATGCAAGAACAGTGACACATGCCTAGCAAACACCTAGAAAACAGCACTTTGTGTAAGTCACTGTGTTAGGGCTGGCCAAATAGCTCAGCAGATTAAAGCACCTGCAAGCAGGTTCAGGGGCTGGGGCTTTGATCCCCAGGCCTACCGTCCTGGCCCTGCCCCCAGGGTGTGCTGAGACCCTGATTAGGACTGGACATGGTAGGGTGTGCCTGTGATCCCAGTACTTGGGAGACTGTAAACAGGAGAAAGTCACTATGAATCTGGTCTAGCAGTGAGACCCTGAACACCCTTTAGACTTCCCTAAAGTAGAGAAAAAAAAGTCACTGTTCTTATTGTCTCCAGCATCATTACCTGGAATTCAGCCTCCAGTGGAGCTGGCTCACTAGGTGGGTCTCTTTTCTTCATATTATGCAGATATGAATGTGAATGCAAGTCAGCCAAATTCACTTCTGTTTCTCCAAACTGGTTGTATTCCACTAGAGCTTGATGGATCAGGATATACTGTGCCTAAGACGTTAGAGAAAAATACAGATAATTAACTGCTGACAACATGGAGTTCCACATGTCACATTTAAATAAAATATGCAAACCTCTATTTTGTGACAATTTTGGGCAAGAAAAGGATTGATAACTGTAACATATAAGTATACTAAAAGTTGGCTCACACAAGTTTTTAAAATGTATGAAAATTCTGTTTCCATTTTTCTTCTAGGAAAAAATAGTTTCCCAGTAGAGTATCCAGGATCTTTTCCATATCTTTTATCTTATGCCTAAAGTTTTTTAAAAGCAGCATTGTTCTCCTCCTCAGTGTCTGTTACTAAAGTTGCAAGTGAAACTAATAATATAAAATCTGTAATAAAATTCACAGTATATCGGCAAAAAGCAAGTTGATATTCTATAGGATTCACCTTGATAGTTTTCTAGAACATTTTAAAATAGAGAAAACTGGACCCGGGAGATAGCTCAATGGCTTAAGTGCCTGTGTGGCAAGCTCAAGGGTAGTGCATTCAGTCTCCGGTGCCCATATAAAATTAAATTAAATTAAAATAAAATAAAATTTAAAATTATTGAGGAAGATCTTATATACCAAATCCAACTTTACCAACTCCCAACTTTTTACAGTATCATAATTGAATACAATATTTTTAAGCACATGATCTATATTTGATGAGCCTCTTTACCACCTCTATTTCCCTGAGGTTGGTTGTATCTTTCTACTTAATTTTACATTTTCCTCAAAAAGGGTCATTTATTTTACTTAATAGTCTATTTTATATTTCTATACTAATATTTGTTTATCTACAAACATAAAGCATTCTACACTACTTGGAGTTTTTGTAAAGATGAACAAATCATATCCCATATGTTTTGTTTGCTGACCTTACGAGTGCCCTATTTTCATCTGAGAGTCAAGCTAGATACAGGTAGATAGAGACCCAGGTCAGCCTTTCCACTGCAGCATAGCCGTTAACGTACACCGTCCCCATGTCTGATTCTACTCTTCCCTTCGCCTACTGATACCGATTTAAAGTGTTTCCAATTCCTTGCTGTGCTAACAGTATTGAGTGCAAGGAATGTGCTCGCACCTGCTTCTACTTATGCGCATTCACAAGTCCTTCCCTTGAGTAAATACATATGTGTCCTCTTGCTGGGTCAATCACAGACATTTCCAATAATAACTGTCACTCCCCATTACCAGGCTCATTGTCTGTGTCACAAACCTGTCAAGCACTTCACTTTTATTTTCTTTTTTGTTATAAACCTGTTAAGCCCTATTTTATCTCTGTCTTATGGATGACTCAGCTGAGGCATGGAGAGATTACAAACTTGTCCAGAGATACAGAGAAATAAGATTTAAGGCACAGGATTTGAGTCTCAGCAGTGTATTTCTAAAAACTAGTCACCTTCTTATTGTGGCTCCTCAATTTTACTGTTATGAAATGTTGTCAAATATGCTTTCTGTGTTATTTCTTTTCCCAGTCTTGTGTTTGTAAATGATATTTCATTTTTAAAAATAGGTTTTATGGTTACCTTCCATCCACCATACTTTTAGACCCTAATGTGTAATTCTGGTAATGTATGACTATTTTTTAACTTTTAAGACATTCAGGTAAAGTTATTTTCATGCAACTGTTTAAAGTTATGAAAAATTTAGATTCCCTTTAAATCATTACTGTCCCCTAAAGATTTCATGCTCAGGACAAAGTGAGGATAATCTCGAGGAGTTGGAACATACCTCCACTTGCACCATGAGGCATCTCTGTCGCCTGAGGTTCACCACGTAGCTGTACACATCCACTTGGCCCTCTGCTTCCAGACCTTCCAGCATGGCATCGATTCCAATGTATGTGCCCGTGCGCCCAACACCAGCACTAGCAAAACAAACAAACAAACAAACCACTGGAGGCCTGAGCAGGACAAGGAAGTGAGTGGAAAGTGGTCAAGATTGAAGCAGAGTTCAGAATGTAAGTTTCTCTTAATGTAACATGAACCCCATGAACTCAGACAACTATCAAGTGTCAATTTATCATAAAAATTATTTTAAAATATAATATATTTCCACTAGTGAATTGCTTCTCAAAATCGAGATCGCCAAAGGGGAGAATGTTCTACTAGCCCAGCTTATAAGGCTTGGCTTTCCTCTGTCCTCTCCCTTTCTCTCCTCTCCTCTGTTGTGTACTCAGGACTGAAGTCAGAGACTTTATGCTTAGCTATATCCCTGGACATTTTTTATCTTTATTTTTGACCCAAAGTCTCACTGAGCTGCGAAGCTGCCCAAACTGGGCATATACATGTGGGCTCCCTTCCTGCCTCAGCCACCCACATTGCTGGAACTATGGCCACACCTAGCTAGGTATAAAGATTTGAGTACACCCATAAATGTGGGCCTCCTGTCTCAATTTTATTTTTAATCATGTTAACGGCATATGTTGATCATACGTAACATTTTGTTTCTTTTGAAGAACTTGTGTGTGTGTGTGTGTATATGAATGATACATGTGTATATATTATATCATATCATCATTTTCTACCTTGTTTCCTCTCCCAGTCTCCCTTCTTTTCTTCTTGTCATTCTTCAATTACAAAAAGTTTCCCTTCTGGGTTCCTGCCATTTCTCCTTCATTATATGCTTTAATTTATTTATATTGTGGGTGTCTCATACAAGCAAAACCACATGGCATTTAAATTTCTGTGTCTGCTGTAGTACAAGCAACCCTGTGGCCTCATCTTTACCTGCAGTGCACTACGATGGGGCCACTGAAGAAGTTGCTGAAAGCGTTCACTCTCCTTCTCAGTTTGAGAAGCAGATGAGAGTCTTCAGGTACCCCGTGGTCTGGCCAGCTTATGAACTGAATGTGAGTCACCGCTCTTCCTGTTCCTTTTTCTTTTTTCTAGAGGAGAGATAATATTAAATATGAGAAGTCTTTTTTCTTTTCATAGCAAGCTACAAAATATGAATAAGTACATGGAAATGCCAGCGCAAAAAATTCCTCATCCAAATGTAAACTGCTCTGAAGTCTTTCCTCATGCATGCTGTATGTTATTCCAGCCCTGGCTGCAATTTCCTTTCCATGAATAACTAGCTGAGAAATCATGCAAGACTTGCACGCACTACCCGGCAAGCACTAACTTACCAGTAGAGTACGCAAGGTAAATATAGTAGAAACTCTTAGCAACTTTCATGCTGCAAAAGAAAGATGACAAAAAGAAAAACAAATACACCTCAGAAGAGAGCCTATGAGTGGCAGTTGGGGCTGGAGTGTATTTATGAAAATGATAACAACTAATCCTCATTATCACTGCTGTTTAAAATTATTCTGCTTGATACAATTTTTTACACGAAGAAAGTTAGATTGACTATGTGGTTAACATTGTATTCTTTAGGCTTTCACAAGGCAGAATTGGTAACTTTACAAAGAAATTTTAAAACAAGAAAACAAATACACTGCTTGCAATTTTCCAATAGGAAATCGCTGAGTTGATTAAGAGCAGTAACCCCAGACTATTTATTTATTCATTTAATAATTCAACCATTTATTCAACACATTTCATAAAGCCATCTTCTTCAGCACTTCAAAGCCTACCACAACAGATGTTTTCGATATGACAGGGTTAAATGTGCCAAGAAGAATGATATAAATTTGACCCTGACAAATAATATCCCAGTTCTGAGGCAGCTCTTCCTCCTAAAGATCACTGATAATTATTATCTGATACGTATTTCAATTTCTTACATTGAAATATTCAACAATTACACTTTCATTCAAAAAAATCAAAAATTGTATCATAAAAGAGACTCACATTTGCAATGTTCATTTTCTGGATGATGTAATCTGGGCATCTCTTGTGCTCATTGATCTTCACAGTGACATCTCCAAAAGTCCGATTGCCTTCTTCCATCGTGGGCCAGTATGCTGCACACTTGTTCTGGGATTTTTAAGAAGTCACTAATGAATCTAATTTTTCATTTAAACAATTTTATTGCACACTTTTCAAAAACAAAGTCCTAAACTTTTGTTCATCTGAAATTCTCAAAACACCTACATTTCTTCATTAAACACAGTTACACCTGAAGCCATGGTGCGCACAATGTAGTGCTTCCTATTCATATGTCCTGACGGATTCTCACGCTACTTGCCAGAAGGATCGTCTTCCCAGGCTCAGCAATACAGTGAAACAAGCATGTTCAAGGCCAACAAAGAGGAGGTCACTGCTCATGGTCTCGTTCAGGCTGGGAGACTGAGCGGCACTTACTCTTTCTAAGACTCATTACAAGAGGACCTCTTGTTATGTAAACACATTATGTCATGGTATTGTACGCATAACTATGTTTATAGCAGGGAAGTTCATAATGGCTAAGTCTTGGAAGAAGCATACATGTCCACCACTAGATGAACAGAGAGGGCAAACATGATATATTTACACAATGGAAACTACTCTGCCATAAAGGAGGAAGATCTTGAGACCATAACACTAAGTATAGAAACTCAGACATACACACTTAAATATTACATGGTTTTTCCTATGTGAAACTCAGCATATATGAAAAATAAAAGGTAATAGGAAAAGAGAGCAAAAGGTATTATAGCCAAGTGCAGATAATGTATCTAAAAATTAATGTTCACTTGACATAATTATTTTACATATTTATATAATCTTTGGCCTATTAGTCAGGTAAGCATTCTGTATATATGATAATTAACTTTATAAGGTGTGATAAGATAAACAAATGAATCTGAAGTTGGAAAAATAAAGAGGGGCGGATAGACAGAAGGGGTAAAAGAATGAAAATGTGCTGTATACATATGTCAATTCTCAACACTGAATGTAAAAATCAGTATGCACTGCAAAGTTGTACTAATAAGTTTTTAAAAAGTGGAAGTTCTGACAGTACTAAAAAGTGACAGGCAATGTTCTAATATTTAAATAGTTGGTATACAAACATATATTTATACCTTTATATATGTGTACATTTTTCTACATGTAGAAAATTTTCGCATGAAAATTTAAATGAAGTGTTAGCACTGATTAAAATTGAGAAATATTTAGTAATAAAGCACACATTTGCAGCCTTTAGAAATTCAACTCAGCGCTGTTTTCCCAATGCCGTTCTCTATCCTGTAATCATTCTCTGTGCCTACCCTATTTCCTTCTTCACATCTAGTAACCATGACAATCACTGTGGCTTTCTGTTCCCAGATCATCCTCCAGAAATCATCAACAGTTTCATCCCTGGGTCCTAAGAGGGAAAAGTGATCAGTTAAGAACTATTTCTTAAAAGTGCTATAAATAATTTTTCAAAAATAATATTGAACTCTCAAGTAGATTACCTTGTGCTGCAATGTATTTCCTGGGTTCTTTGAAACCCTGTTGAAAACGTACACAAAGAAGTATCATTCACTGAATACTCAGTTGTTCAATAATATGCAAAACTGTGATTCAGAAGTTGCTTTAGATCTGTCTTTTCTTGGTTGCTGATTTCTCTTAGAACTTGCTAATTCTTCAGAGGATTTTTGAAGTTTGTACTCAGGCATTTACTGTGCCAAACACCATAGCATTTACAAATGAAGTTCATGACTTTAACAAGTATTTGGTGTTTATCCCAAACAATTTTAGAAGCTAGACATCATCCTTATTTGGGACCATATAGCAATTTACAAGGGCAATCTCGATTTTCAATAGTTGTGTCCTGTCAGCCCTTCCAGCATGATCACCGCTGCCTTCTTACCACCCTTAGAATTGCTTTTAGGGTTTTTACTCCATTTCTCTAAACAATGAATCCCTCTGAGATCATGCTTGCATCTCTACCTCACTACTGTTGCAACATAGTACTCATTCCCTATCGTGCTTTTATGTCATTTCAGTTAAGTGATGCAATAATTTTCGTTTCATTTCCTACAATGTCTGCTGTCTCTGCTTCTGTTACCAAGATAAAGAAGAAACACAAGAGCAGACAAAATATGCTAATTTTTTCCAAAATTATCTCCTACTCTTTAAATTTAATGATGAGAAAAGCTCCAGAGAAAGAGAAGAACTTTGTCCCTAAAACAAATTTTACACATGAGCTCCAGTATTTCATTAATCTTAGTAACAGTCATGACAGTGTTAGTCATATTCATTGCTTCAACAAGTACTTATTGAATGGCTACAGTATTCCAAGTACCTATCCAAAAACTGAAGCATCATGCTTTCCAGGGTTCCAAGCTCTATTGGGGAAAGATAATTAAAATATGATCCCATACTTACTATATGTATTTACACAGGAAATGTAAGTCATGTTTTTAAAGAGATTATCTCAAATAGTAGTGGTGACAGGCATGCCACAGAGGACTGTTTGTATCACTAAAATCTCTAAAAGATTCCCCAGATTTAATGAATTAAAATCTCTAAATGATTCCCCAGAATTTAGATTAATGAATCTAAATCCTTGAAAAATCTCTAACACTCCCAGGTCTGCTCTCATTTACTTTGCTTCTATTTATTTATTTATTTATTTATTTATTTATTTATTTTATTTTTAGGGAATGGTCTACAGGGTGTTCAGGATCTCACTACTAGATAGGACTCCGTGATCCACCTGTTTATAGCCTCCCAAGAGCTGGGATTACAGGTGTGCACCACCATGCCCAGTCTCGATTGCCATCTTAGTATGCCTCAAGGACAGGGCTGGCATGGCAGGCCTGGGGATTGAACCCCACACCCTTGTGTACTTTGCTTTTGAGAACAAACTGTCATTTAGAAAAGACATTGTACATTAGAATAAGCTTGACCAATGCTAATTTTGAAGGCCTGTAGAGATCATTGTATGAAGCAAGTTGCAGTCATCTTCAAGACTTTGACCTGGTGTACTACGCTAATTATTGTTTGAACTATGATGTTGCATTTGCAAATATTGGCAGTCACTGGTGAAAAAACTTCTACATACTATGTAGAAAGGTTATGGAATAAAATAGGACTATCTGTAGTGTCAGAATGCTTGGGGTGAAATCCTAGCCGTGATTCTGTTGGCAAAATTTTAATGTTTCATAGAGTTTCTATGATATTTAAGTGAATTAATATACATGTAAGGCAGTAAATGTGATGATAGCAAATGTATGATAAATTATCATAAAAGTTATTATAATCATTGATGTTAATAAAATTTAGCATCAAAAAATCATTAGAAGTCTCAAAAAAGGAATTTCATTAACCATTAGTACACAAATGTTGGAGATAAATAGTTTATGAATAATGCAACTAGAAAACATTTCTAAATAGTCTACAACTTTACATAAACTAAGTAAAATACATTTTGACCCAGTGCCTCAGGATGTGATCTTATTTGGAAATAGTGTGGGGATAAGGGTTAAAATGATGTCATAGAGGGGCCGGGGAGATGGCTCAGTGGAATAAGCGCTTCCCTGGCAAGTGCAAGGGCCTGAGTTCAATCCCTGGTTCCACAAAAAATAAATAAATAAATAAAAATAAAAAAATTAAAAAAAATGAGTCATATTGGATGAGGATGGGTCCTGCATCCAAAAATGTTGTCCTTAAAAATGAAAGAAGAAGGATATTCAGACACAGTCAAAGAGAGACACACAGGAAAGTGAGCCATGTGATGGGGAGAGTTAGGAGTAACTTGGCCATAAGACTGCCAGGAGGACCCAGAAGCTAAGAAGAGGTAAAGAAGGCTTCTCCCAGAACCTTGAGAGGGAGCATGGCTTTACAAATATATTAATTTCAGCTTTCTGATCCCTACAACAGTGAGAAAATACATTTTGTTGTTTTAAGCCATTAACATATAATCCTTTGCTGTGTTAGACCTAGAAAACTAACACATTGTGGAAATAAAAGTTGTAGTGAGAAACTTGACTCCAATGCACTAAAAGTATATGTATTCGAGCAGATCAGCAACAAGAAAAATGACAAAATTTTTCATTTCAATTGTTTTTTCTTTAAGAAATTTTGGGGATTAATTTACAAATTAATTTATACAATAGCATGACATACTTTTTTTTCACTATTTCATTGTCAGAGGAGTATTTTGATGACATTCATTTGGCAATGCTGTGTGGAAATAAATACTTTCATATGTTGTTGGTTGACTGTAAATTGCAATTGTAATTGTAACCATGTAGGGGACCATTTCAAATTTTTAAAAATTTAAAATGTGGATGATCTTTGTCCCCATAACTCCATTTTTCAGAAAATTATGCTATGCGTATATCTCAACTCATTGTAGAAAACTGAATCAAAATAGTTCACTGCATCATTTTTGATAATAGAAATTTGGAAACCACATTCAATGCTCACTGAGGAGAAAGGGATTAAATACTTCAATTCAGGTAGACTACAGAAATGTAAAGATACAAAAACGTTTTAGGACCAGGGTTAGCAGTCTAAGGCCTGTAGACTAAATTAAGTATGACTGCATTTGTAACTCAAGTTTTGTAACTTAGCCATGATAGGTCATATCATGTCTACGCAAGAGGCAGTAGAGTATTCATGAAAGGGATGATTGGTTTACAAAGCCAAAAAAATTTACTATCTTGCTTCTTACAGGAAACATTTGCTGATCCCTATTTTTTATAGTGATTCAAGATACAGACATATGGGTAATTTCAGTAGACAGCTGTAAAGAAAACAGAGCATATTTTACTTAAATTTTGTCCCATTTGATTGCCAACCAGAATTGCAAAGAGAATTGGGTTCATATATCAAGGTAGCAAAGTAACCATACATTCCTTGGTACACAAACTTGGTACATGTCCTTGGTACATATCCACATATGCACACATATATATCCTTGGTACACAGACTCAATTCTCTTTACAATTTTGATCACGAACCATACAGGATGAAAACTAAGTTCAATTTCCCCATAAGGACACCATAGAATGTAACCAATGAATTTGATTTGGTTCTCGTACAACTAAATTAGGGAGCAGAACCGTGGAAAGATTCAAGTTCATGAACTGAGCCACCACTGTGTGTTATTTATGTATGCAAATATAGCAAGATACAGAGCAGTGTGAATATTGTGTTAGCAGTTTAATATTAGGCAGGGTAGCAAAAGTTGGTCTTTTTTATTTATGCATGTCTAAAGAAATTCTACCTGGAGAAATAAGCTAAAATAGAGGTTATCTCTTTGGTCAGTGGAGACACTAAGAAAATGGCAGATTAAATAAGTTTTTTTTAAATATGTATATGTGTTTATATTATTTAAAATTAATTCATGTGAAGCATTACTTATCTAACAACAGCTACATCCTTAAAATTTTGGTTCCTGAAAGAGCAATGAAAATCTAAAAGGTACAACAGATACTGTGAAAGGAAAAGAAATTGTTCAATGGGAGGGAAAAACTAGGATGAGGAAAAAGGACAAATGAAAGAAGGAAAAAACATATTTAGGTTTATATGCAGAATAGCTTGGATAATTGTTATTGTCAATCTCTGCTCATCTTTTGAAAGGAGCAGTTAATGCTTAAAATTTTTTTACTGTGCTTTTTTCCTGTTTTGAATTTCTTATAACTTCTTTACTTTTTTCTCTAAATGACTCTTACATGTTTATGTCTGCTTATCTGAACAACTAATTTGAAGATAGCATCATGCAATACAGCAACTGTTGTTGAATTCCGATTACTTTGTTTAGAAAAATCTTGTATGATTTCTAATACTGTTTTTCTCCCTATCACTATTTTGTATTCTTTAAAAATAAAATTTCAGTTCATTGTCACAGACATTTTCACTTTTTGGATAAAAATGTGTTCTGCAGACAGGCACTGCCTGTGAAGATGGCCACTGTGGAACAGAGTTAACTGAAGTTTAACTGAGGTCAAGCAGACATGGGATGAAACTGAACCCAAATCTTCATTAACTGTGTGATAAAGGGGAAGATAACTTATGAGCACTAGCCCTCCATTTTCACTTACATAGCGAACATAGTGCTTGTCAAGAGAGTTACTACAGGACACACATATCGATCACTTGTCCAATTCCCAGCAGATAATGTGTACTGGGGGGTAGAATGTTGCAATTTAATCTATATTTTATACTCAACAAAGTACTTCATTCTATCTAGCACTGACTGACAGGAACATATGTATTTGTAAAATGTTGTAAAGTCAAAAAGGCACCAAATGGCATGCACAGACACGAAAAGTCCAAATTTCCAATGAAACACGATATAAAACGATTCATCTTTTTTACTCACATCGATATAGCTAGCATTTATATAGGTTGTCCCTGTATCTCCATTTATTTCAGAGAGTTCAACACGGTTATAGTCATCTATGTAACACAAAAAAAGAGTGAAATAATGAGTGACAAGCAGTTAGCTTAAAGATACAAAGACTCAAGCCTTAATAAACACTTACAAGGAAGGATGTCAACATAGCGGTTTTTATTTTGATTGCAAGACTTTCGAGCATCCTTGATTGAAAATTTACTGAACACCCGCGGGATGCTCTGAAAGACACAAAGAAATATCCATTACATTTCAGCATATACAGAAAATATAGTTTTCCCTTTAGCGATTATCATTTTAAGTAAATGATTCATCCTGTACAATATTCTCCATATACTGATTAAAGCACATATATATGGTTATTGACATCAACACTATTAGGAATCATGTATAAATACCATTTTTCTTTGATTATTATAATGGATTGTTTTCAAGACAAGTATCATGGAAAAAAGTTTAAAATCAATTGCTGTATCACTTTAAAATTCATTAAAAAAGCAAAGCTTGAACAATTACTTGAGTACAAGTTCAAAATTAGCCAGAAAGTTTTGGTGACATGACTTTATAGTTGAAAATGACCCAATAAAGCATTATACTAAAATATCTATGAGCTTTGTATTAAGATCCTATCACCCTCTATGAATCTCTCATTTGGCCCATAAATGTCTGCTATCAATATATGTCTTTTTTTTTTTATTTTTTTTCTACAGTTTTATTGATAAACATATAGCAATGAGACCGTTTCAAATCAAATCGGAAGTACAGTTTCAACAAATAATACACTGCATATATTATTCTTAGTGGTTAATTGCTGTACAAGATGCGGACTTGT